ACCTCTGTTGAGTCGGTAACAGCACCTAGAGACGTATTCGGTAAACCGCAACACGAATCCATAAAATATGCCGAGGACTTTGTTCTTACTCACAGAGAACACACTGTGCTAAATCTGATATGAAAATTGTGTTTTCCGAACATAGCTGGACAAGGAAGGAAAATTCAATGTTATCAATTGTATAATAAACCTTTCATCCATCACAGTCAAACCAGCAAACTTCTGATTCATTCCATACAACTATAGAGAACAACATCCGATACACCCACTCTAGGTACACGGACGGTTAAGATCCGAACACTCTACATTCATTCTGTATCATACACACTTAACACCAACTTATTTTCAACGCTTAGTTCTATAGTCACTCCTCTGTGGGGTATCCGTTGAATTCGGCAACAGCATCGAACTTATCCCGAATTGTAGATTTCACCGTGCATCAGTCTTTTAACCGACATTCTTCCCTCGAATTTGGGTTTAAACTACAGCCAGCAAGTCCACCCCAAATGATCTCTCCAACAACTAGGACAAGACAAAGAAGTCCGAACCTCTGTCCTGCGGGCTATCCGTGTTACTAGATTATGTTGTTCTCTGTTCGACCCCAAGTCAAATCATTCCAAGGAAAGGCCGAGGATACATTTGATCATCACTAGTTTATAGTGCCTGCAAGCTAGAGGTACTGGTAGCAGGGATTGCAATCACACCAAGATGGGTTCTATGATGAAGGTAACATGCCCTCGGGTGGACGGAAGAGGATCGCAGAAATCGTTCTTACATTTAAAATTTAACCAATACAAAACATACGAACTTCTGGAAACTGATGGCTCCTGGAAAATTTCCCAAATAATTATGATACCGAAGCCAAGAAAGGATTTGACAATACCATTTTCATAAAGACCAATTAGACTGCTTCCTTGTTTATTCAAAATATTTGAGAAAGCATTCCGAAATACATACATAAGTTCTTTAATAGACAACATATTATCCCGATTTCCTTGAGCAAGTAAAACGTTTAACTTGAGAGGTTGGAAAACCCTCCGAATCAAAAAAGTAATGTTCGGCAGTCTTCTAGATGTTGTTCAAGCTTTTGACACATTCTTTACTAGAGTCTTGTGTATTTAGAATAAAGTGTGGTGTTTATGTGACGAAAGACTATGCAATCAATGCTGGTGAAACACAGGGAATGTTTTAGGACCAACACTTTTCTTAAGTTACACATCTGATTTGCATATGAGCGACAACTTGACAATTTCCACATTTGCAGATGACACAGCTTTCCTTCTTATTTGAACTCGATCATTGTGTCGAGAAACCTGACAATTATCTCAATTATTGGTGAAAAAAGATAAAAGAGCTAAAAAGCAAACCCATTACGTTTACACCAAGAAGAGCACACTATGCCCTAGTGGCTTTAATTATTGTGAATATTTTCCAGTCTGATCATATCACATAACTTAACATTCAGTTGGCTATACCTCGAACTTGCCGTCACCATATCGATTCTAAGAGGCTCTATATATCTTCACTATCTAATTAACCTTCAATCGAAGCTAAACCTTGACCGCAAAGTCACACAGTATAAGACAGTTGTGAAACCAATTTGGATGTATGAAATTCAACTATGGGGAATCGCAAGTAATACTATCATTGATCTCATATAAGGGGGGCCCACTCCAAATAATTTTATAAGAACTCAATATAAGGTATTGGACGTTATAACACTTTCAAAAGAGTCATAATGTCAATGGACATTGTCACACTTTTAAAACCGAAATACATATATTGGAATATTTGATTAGGATTTAACAAAAGTGACAATCTGATCTCGGATAGAGTCCGAATTTGGATTCCTTTGTAAACTATGGGGTATTTCGAATACCGGCTTCGCTAAATTAAGTATTTTCTCGATTAAAGAACTATTTGTAATTCATGGACTTTATGTGACTTTGGTCATGAAGATTGTTACACTTTTAAAAATGCCATAACGTACATGGACACTATAAAACTTTTTGGGGTGCCGTAACCTTTGTAATATGCCACCAATTTGATCAACTAATAGCGCCGTAATTGCTATCCGGTTTTTGGCGTCGGTGCCGTGTCATAATATCGGATACAGACCGGATTTGGATTCCTTTGTAAACTACGGAGTATTTCGAATACCGGCTTTGCTAAATTAAGTATTTTCTTGATTAAAGAACTATTTGTAATTCTTGGACTTTATGTGGCTTCGGTCATGAAGATTGTTACACTTTTAAAAATGCCATAACATCCATGGACACTATAACACTTTTTGGTGTGTCGTAAGCTTCATAATATGCCACCAATTTGATCAGCTAATAGCGCCGTAATTGCTATCCGGTTGTTGGCGTCGGTGCCGTGTCATAATATCCATGGACGTTATGACACACCAAAAAGTGTCATAGGGCCCATGGAAGTTATGTCAATTTCAAAAGTGTGACATGGACATGGTAAAACTTTTGAAATAGAAATGTATTGGAAAATATGTTTAGAATTTAAGAAAGAGAAACTATTATCCTGAAAAGAATAGCTTCTAAACTTGGTGTACGTTTTGGATTCCTTTTAAAAAGTGTCCAGGATAGCTGGGCTTCGGCTGAGCGCAGGGGTTTTAAACTCTGGGGTATTTCGAATACCGGCTTCGCAAAATTAAGCCTTTTTTGATAATGAATGAACTTAAATGGATTGGTTGTGGTAACCGAACAGAAAGCATAGTTCTGGTAACTAAACTTTAATGTCAAAACCATAAAATTGGCTATTTCGTATTACTAAGTGGATTGAGTGTTTGGTTATTTAGAGCTACAGCAAGTTGTGTTCTGGCATGTTTTTAAAATATTCTATATTTTGAAATCTAATTATAAAAAAAACAATTTCGCTAAATAAAAATGTAATAAATCATTACAATCTATAGAGTGTATTTGTGTTTACAAAAGGAAACAGTGTGCTCCCCCAAATTTAAGCTTCCCAATTTTGAACAGTTCTCGTTGTTGTTGATAAAATGTTAAAAAGAACTGACTTTTTAAGAAAGAACCAACAGCAAAAAAAAAGTAGACACACACAAGAAAATAATTTAGAAATCTGTCAAATTCTTAAAGAGGAAGAGTATAAAATAACATTTACATTTATTTCGTTTTAACTTAACAACGAACAAGAAGAATATTGATTAATTTAAAGTAAAAGAAAAATTTAAAGAAAATTCAAAATACAAAGTACGTAAAGTTTCCATTGTAGCGAACTGTTTGTATATTCACTCGAATTATTTGTTGAAGCGTACAACTGTTTTATAACGTTTTTTAAACAAGAATGGCTGAGTTTTTACTTAAAAACACACATACGCTCTTACATACAAACATAAAGGCTCCAAAAGTGTAGAAAAACAACAACAAAGGTAACACAAATGGGGAAGTACTTTTTGCTGTGAGTGTTATGTAAAATTAGAATAAAAGAGAAGGTGTTATGGGAAAGAAGTGTTGTCTCTTTTGTTTGCATTGGCATGATTTGAGTTCAGTTGAACACACTCACACTTATTCTCTAGCAGAATTCGAAAAACAAACATGTCGTTGAGGGTTGTTGTTTTTCCCATAAGCACTCTTTCCTTGTTTAACACTTACGTTAAGTCCCTTTCACACTCATGATAATATAAACCGTTACTCGTTACTTCTCGTTACTACTCGTTGTTGATTCCGCTAGAACACGGTTTATCATTGTTTTAGGTATTTTGTGTATTCTTGTTGTTTTTGTTAAATCTTATCAGAAAATTTGTATAGAAAACAAATCGAACAAAAATATCTCTAGCAACAACTTGAATGAATTGTTTGAGAGTGTGTGCGTGTGAGTGTTCGTTCAAATTGTTTTGATTCTTATCGCCTAGAGATAAGAGAATATGAATATAGAGTAAATGTGCTGTTATTATCGTTGTTGTTGCTGCTTGTGCCTTGTTCTATTCAGTAGTGCTTTTTTCCGGTATCTCGTAGGGAAAAACCAAATGCTCAATTCAGTCGTTTCGATTAATGCGCGTACGTCTGAACGTTAAACTCGCTGCCTAAAATATAATCGCCACCAAACGGACTGACGTTGTTGCGTTTTTATCAACAAACGTATTAACGGTAAAGCAACGTACTATTTGTATATGGAATAACGGGGTTTGTTTTGGTTCTTGCTACCAAATCGTTTGTTCGTACAAGTCCTGTTGCAAAAGTAAACTTTAAAACGAGTAAACTCGTCCACATTTTGAGAGCAGTTTTAAAGACAGAACGAGCGTAATTGTGTGTGAGTGTTAGAGAACAGAAAAAGGGGTGGTAAAAACCCATAACCGCCCTGATTTTCGGGGTATATGAATATGCGTCTATAGCAATCACCACTATATGCTGTGCGAGTATGTGGATAGATAGATACTACAACTTAAATAGATTTTACAGACGCGTTTCCGTTTTCCGTTGCTGCATTGTCATTCGTTTACGAATACTCGCCTAGTGTTAACGTTCACTTTTTTTGTCGATTTGTGTACGTACGTTGTGTCAGCCAGCAGGCAGCAGCATCAGTAGACAACCAAATAATACGGTCGTATAACCTCATTACAAATCAATCCCCATCAGTTGATTATATACCATCAGCCAGGTTTTAACACCAACAAAAAATACCCTGCAAACCAAAACAAAATATAAATAAAAAATTCAAATAAATCCCTTAGAGTCGTTTTTGTTGTCTCACCAACTAAATCTACTACTGCTACTACTACGACTAGATTGTTTGTTGTATACACATTTTAGCCCAGTCTAATTACCCGCTGGATTAAATTATTAAAACACTTAAGCCGTCGCGGATTTTGTATCAAAACAAAAAATAAAACATCAAACAACTACAATAAAAATAAAATAATAATAAAAAAAAAAATAACGAAACAAAGCTTAATAAAACAAAAAAAGTGAAAGTGTTAAAAAAATTGTTGTAAAAAAATGAAATCAAAACAAAATCAAATCAGATATAAACGTATTATAGAATAAAAATCATAATAAATCTAAAATAATCCCTATAAATACTATAAATTCAAAGCTTTTTATAAAAACACACAAAAAGCTTTTCAACAATTTGTTTGAAAAAAAAAAAGAAATAATTATTAATAACTTAAATTAAACACTTGTCCCTAACAAAGCTATTTTTAACATTTGACTTTGTATCTTTAAAATAGCACACAATTTCAAATTATTCAAACACCCGCCGCCCCAGTTTATTAAATGATTTAATGCTAAAGTGCGTGACCGTCGGCTAGTGACAAAATTCGAAGAAATCAATTTTCTTGAGCAAAACAATTAATAGATAAAGAACAACCGCAACAGCTAAAAAAAGTAATAAATTATATTAAACCATTAATTAAACAGTATAAATGTGTGCTAAGCATTTGTCTGCTTAATTCTTAAAGTGTAAAATAAATCTTTTGAGAAGTCTCATATAAAGTGGATTAAACTTTAACCTCGATAAGCGTATTTAAAATAAAACGCAAGGTGAGCCAAAATTTTTAGAAATTATCAAAAAAAAAAAAAAAAATAAAAATTGTTTCAAAACAAATTTATTTGCTTAATACGTTTAATGAAGAAAGTAAAATCTTTTGAAATTAATATTTGGTAGAACTTAAGTTTATTATTTCTGGCAGATAATTAAGAATCTTAAAATTTTCAAGCAAATAAAAATAAATTTTAATTGTTTACCGTCGGTTAATTGCAAATCTTGTATTATAATTACATATATTAGTTAATCCAATATTCATTATCCGAGATAGAATGAGCTTTCGTATCAAAATCTCATTTCTTAAGCAAAGTTATGAAAAGTGAATTCGAGTTTATAAAAACAATTAATTTTACTCCATCACGAAAGCTGTTTAATGCCCTATCTCACATAGTGTAAATGTAACTTAGGAGCTTTTGAAATAATTATTAGGAAGTAATTTAGAACATGTTCTTAAAGTTCAGGAATAAGCTTGAGATTCTCCAAGTTACATCGAAAACTAAAATTATACCAAAGAAACAATTTCTTGAAAATATTTTCCAAACTTGTTGATGAAAGAACTAGTTCTAGAACTGGTTTTTAAAAGGTTTGCCTTTTTACAGTAATAATTGCCCAAGAAAATACTTGGAAACAATTCGAAACTGTGCAACTTGAAAGTACTAGTTATAGAACTGGTCCTAAGATGTTATATTCATGGTTGTCGGAGAATCCCATAGTTGTCGGAATTGAGTTTGAAAACGAGAAAAATTCATTGATTTCATAAAATCTTTGCTTGATAATGAATTTCATATATTAAATCGAACATTGAACTGATTCTATTGGATTTCCGATAATGATTGGATTGTAAGACAATTGCGATTTACTCGTTAAACTCTCCTAATAACTTGTTTAAGAGTAAGAATTTTCAAAAAAAAAAAAATAATAATAATTAAAGATAGAATTGATTCCAAAACTGGTTACGGAATTGTTCAAAATAACGTTTAAAAAGCCCTCAAAGCTTTTTTGGAACCAATTTTTTACACCAAACCTGCTCTATGAATCAAATTATTGTAAACAGTTCGAAACTTTGCAATTTTACATCAATATTGAAAGAACTAGTTATAGAACTAGACCTCATTTATTCTTTTAAACTTTCGTAAAGCTTTTTTCAACAAAAATTATTGATGAAAGAATTGATTCTAAAAATTGGTTGTATTACAGTTCAAGATTATATGCAAAGATTATTAAACCTTGAACTAGTTCAGACCGGAACGGAATTGTTCAAAATAGCGTTTGCAAGGTCTTCAAAGCTTTTTTGGAACCAGTTTTTTACACCAAACTAGAACCAGTAGCTGCTCTTTTACATCAATATTGAAAGAACTAGTTATAAAATGTTTCATTTATTCTATTAAAATTTCCTAAAGCTTTTTCAAAAGTTTACCTTTTCAACAAAAAATTACTGATGAATGAAATTATTCTAAAATTGGTTGTATTACTGTACAAGATTAAATGCAAAGATTATTAAACCTAGAACTAGTTAAGACCGGAACAGAATTCTTCAAAATAGCGTTTGCAAAGTCTTCAACGTTTTTTTGGAACTATTTTTTTACACCAAACTAGAACCTGTACCTGCTATATAAAGCAAGTATTGGAAATAGTTCGAAACTTTACAATTTTGCATCAAAAGAACTAGTTATAGAACTGGACCTTAAAGGTTTTATTTATTCTTAAAGTTAAACTTTTCAACAAAGATCATTGATGAATAAATTGATTCTAAAATTGGCTGTATTACTGTTCAAGATTATATGCAAAGATTACCTAGAACTAGTTCAGACCATATCGGACATATTTTTGGTATGGTTGTCTCTGATGGGTTAGCTGATAGTGTTCTAGTCTATCAGATCGAAGGTCGTGGTTTCGATTCCCACCAGAGATTTTCTGCGGTTCATATGTAACATACATTCTCCTTTCAAAATACATAGCTATGTAAATAACCAACTTGACGTCATAATTTCATTATGAGATTCTATTTAAATAACCCAAATTTTAGGTTAACTACTAAATACATAATTTTTTACTATTTTTATATACTAATTAAAACGTTCATATTTTAAGATAAATTTTCAAAAAAAAAAAAAACACTCAAAATGAAATAATAAAATTATAAATTTAGGCAAATAATTTACAGCAATTGTTTTATAACAATTATTTTGCAATTGACGTCATATTATTTATTAATTGTAAAAAAATGCTTTAAATTAAAAACAAAATAGAACAGTGAGGACTTCTATTTGCATTTTAATTTTTTGTTTAATAATTTTCTTTTCGCATGTGTGTTCGTTCTTTTTGCCAAAACAAACAACGATACTTAATAATAAACCGCACATTATAAACCAAAACAATAACAATAATAATAAATAAAAAAGCAAATATAAATACTACAAAAATTATATTAAAAAAAGAACATAATTAATGATATTTTGTTGCCAGCAAAAAGTTTAAACCACAACATGCACAACATATTTATGTATTTTTCAAACAGACGCATGATTTGTACAAAACTTATCGTTGTGAATGGAAAAAAAAATGTAGAAAATTTATAGAAAAAGAGTTCAATATTTGCTCAATTTTCATGGTAGACAAAACCTTTATAATAAATTAAAATATTTCACAAAGAAGAAAGAAAATAATTAATAAATTGTACGATGTCACAGCTACATGCTGTATTTTGTAGCTTTTGTTAAACAATTTTAGGTGAAATATTACAAAAATTAAAAATAAATATTTTTAATTTTTAAGAATTTGAAATTTTAATGGTGATATTTCTTATATAAAAAGAGGTAAAGATCTCAAAGCTGGTTTTATAAAATGTCCGAATTATAATTTTTCCTTTCATCAAGTTTTAAAGAAATCATAACCCAAATTCGAAACCCGAAAAGGTTTTCGAGATATTGTTTTTGGTTATATTTGAGACAAATATATTTGAGTTTTATTTTAAAAAATTTAATTTTTTTTACTAAAGAAGATAAGGGGTTAACCTTAACTTATTCACATAAAAAGCTTCTTTAAAAAGTTTCTGAGTTCACTAAAAACGTAACAAACTCCTTAAAATGTACCACAGGAAAACATTTCATAAAAACTGCAGCAAAAACTGACATTGATAACGAATGAGTTCAAAAGCTTCACTTCACCATTTCCCAGCAAAAACATGATAATGTTTTGCACTTACCCAATAACTTACTTTTCAATGATTAGCACATACCGTCAGCATTACTAAGAAGGAGACTAGCCATGACTTGTATGGGGACTAGGGTCAAATGAGGCCCGATCATTACCAAAATCGTCAGTATTATTTAAACTTATATAAAACCATTTTTGTATATATTCTACAACATTTAACATAATTATAAGCTCAAAAAGCCCTATTTTCGGGATACACTTGAATGGGGGCTAGACGAAATAATAAACCGAATTCGACCATTTCCAATAGACTTCTTCCATGGGGCAAAAGAAAAGCATGTGCCTATCATCAATCTTGAAAATTGTGCGCAGAAGATTTACATGTGCACACAGATGGGCATAGCTTAATCGACTCAGAAAGTGATTCTGAACCGATTGGTATACTTTCAGGTGTAGGTCCAATATTCTTGGGTGTTAAGCATAATACCCATCACACTATAATGGTGAAAGATAAGAAACATATAAACTGAGCATCTACTATCTCTGATTTAATCTGATTTAATTTTCCAAATCCCCTGATATGTTTCAGTTATTTAAAAAATATGTCTATAATGTCATTAAACATTGGAAGCTATTTTTCTCCAAACCAGTATTGTAGTAAAATGTGAGAACTTGTCGGCTATTTTCTTAAAAAAAGAACTGCTTACTTTAAACTTTATAAGCAAGCGATCGATGTAAGTACTTATTTAACTGATTTAATGTAAGCAAGTGTGGCAAATACTTGATTCGAATGTACATCACCATGTTAAAATGTTATATATTAGAGTTTTAAAGCTTTATTTTGACTTCGGAGGCAAGTCAAGGGTTACTATCAACCGAAATGCTATATTTTTGGCCCATTTGGTCTAAAATTTTTGGGGATTTGTACCCTCTTTTTATGTAATATCATTAAAATGGCGATTTTTTTGCAATATTTGCAGTATTTTCTCTTTTTTCCAGAGATAAAACCAAAATTTGATATTGGGATTTAATAGAACCCTTGGAGTATCTAAAAATAGTATTTTTTGTTACAATAATCTGTATTTGAACGATCCAAGATATATTATTGATATCATTATTCTGTAGCTAATTCAATATATTGGAACTTAAGTCCATTTTCATAATACTAGGGTCAAAAATTTTCGGGAAAGTTTTCTTGTATATATTCTTTTAGATATCAGCTTTTATATATTTTAAGTTTTCAATGTATTGTGGAAGTGTACAACATAAAAACATGCCTCGAAGAAACACCATTCAATATGGTAGTATCATTGTTTTTATGCACCTGCATGCCACTGTATAATTATGGTCTAACTAAAAAATATCGATACCTGTTTAAATATTGATTACTATGATTAAAATAAACCCAAAATTTTGGACTTACAGTGTTATTGTAATGGGCAACATAAGCGTGAAAGTTACGAATAGTAAAAACTGAAATCTACTGTATAGGATGACGTTTTGTAAAGGCATGTTTTGGAATTGTATACCGATATAATGTATTGAAAATTTTAAATATATTAGTGCTAGTATGAATGTATACTAGCCAACTTTGTCGGAAAATATCGACTCTAGTGGTACGAAAAGGGACTTAAGATCCATACAATTCAATTAGAAACAGAAGAACGATACCAAAAATACATCTTGGAACTTTTAAGTACAGATCCTTATAACAAAAATTATTATTTTTAGATACCCCAAGGGGTCTATTAAATTCCAATATTAAAGTTTGGTTTTATTTCTGCAAAAAAAGGAAAAAAATTGCAAATATGGTCAAAAATCGCCATTTTAATGATATTACATGAAAAGATGGTACAAATGCTCCAAAATTGTGGAACAAATGGACCCAAAATATATAATTTCGGTTGATAGTAACCCCTTAATACAATTTTAAGCAAGAAACCACTCGATTATAATTTTTGTGTTTCGTATAATATGGTCATATATGAAATACAGGAAAAATTCGAATACTTTTGTGAGGCAATTTTATGGACTTTGTTTAAAAAAGTTAAATCAATTGAGTTAAATGTAATTTTTCCAAATTTTAAAGAGTGTGGTATTATACCTTAGGACTCTCTAGACAATATAACAAATTTAATTATTATATGTTTCTTTTCAAAGTACAACCAAATTCGAATACTTAATGTTGACCACGCAATTTTATGCACATCCGTTGTCTAAATGTCAACAAACGTGGTAAGCTCAAAATGCGTTGTAAATAGTGAGCTTACCACGTTTGTTAATTTTTAGACAACGGATGTGCATAAAGTTTAGTTTGCAACAACGAATTTTTGCAAGGTTGACAAAGTTGCGTGGTCAACATTTGCTATTGTTGTTTTATGTATGTATATACTTGACAACGGATGTTATTGAAGAATTTTGTGTTAATTTGGTAGTCATTGCAAAGTAAGTTGCTGAGCAAGCATAATTTCTAACAAAAAATATACGAAAATCAACCACCAATATGTCAGCATTTCAAAATACATTTGGAAAAAAAAATTTTCATTTAATTAAACAAATTTCTTATAATTCAAAATCATACAATTTGTTTACAAAAATTTTACATTTCAAAATCATTATTTAATAAAACATTTTCCTTTCCCTTCTATATATTAGTCAAATGTGTTGTAGCTGCAGTACATTGACTTTTAGATAAAAGAAGAAAAACAAGCAACACTAAACTTTTTAATCCTCTAAGAGATTAAGTAGGGATCAAAAGAATTATTTTTTTAATTTTACAAGAATTTATATTCTTTTTATTTTGAATTTTATTGTACAGCCAGCAGAAGCAGCAAAAACTACTACTGTACTGCTGCTAGTCGGTGTAATAAAAATTTATATGATGATTGTCAGTCACTCAGCTCCTCTTCACACAGTTTTTACAATTATATTTTTTTATATTTTCCTAATGAGCGAAAATGAAAGTTTGTTTTCTGTAAGTGTAAAGTGCATATTTATCTAGATACGAAATCATTTTCGTTGCATTTGCATTTTAATATTAGAAAAGATGAGAGACTGGTTGGCTGACTGACTGTTGCAATAAAATTGTCTGTGTTAAATGTGTTAGTTGTTTGTTGGCTGGTGGCAAAATGTTAATTAGATGCAAATAACACCAAACATTATACTGTTAGATACACAGATATTGAAAGAATAATAAAAATTATTCGAAAATAAATAAATATTTGTATTTTAGTTCATATTCGCCGTAATGGTCTAATGTATGAGTGTGTATGAGTATAGTTTTATGGGATTTTTTATTTGTTTTATTGTATTTGTTATAGTTGTGTTATTTTTATTATTATTTATTTAAGATTTTTATCATTTGGTTTATTTTTCGACCTAGTATACTTTAATTTTACGTGCAATATGTTTCGTTCCCGTTTATATATTTGTTTAATTTGTGGTATTTATTGCGGCTGTCAAAGTTTCGCAAGTTTGCCATTAAAAATTTAGAGAGATAATTGTATAAAAGGGATTAAAAAGAACAATAAAACATTGGCCGATTTTAAAATAAATCATTTCGACAGTTGGCAACAATTTTCAAAATGGGTTTCATTTATGAAACTTCAAACTTTAGGTAAAGATATCTTGAAGAAAGATGAAGATATAACAGAGGTTAAACCTTAAGTTTTAAAGTTATTATACCTTATACCACTATAGGGTATAGCTAAATCGACTCACTTTCTGAGTCGATTTAGCTATGTCCGTCTGTCCGGCCGCCTGTGTATCCATGTAAACCTTGTGTGCACTCTACAGGTCGCATTTTTCAAGATAATTAGATGCATTTTGGCACATGCATCAAAAAAGATGGGGGGTATATTGATTTTGTCATTCCGTTTTCAACTCATCGAAATATTGGTCATAGACCTACAAAAGTATATATATTCTGGGTCCTTATTAAATTCCAAGACGATCTAGCCATGTCTGTCCGGAAATATTGGTCCACGTTTTCGGATAGCTCCCATACAAGAGGACCCCCGAGCTTTAATGGGCATATCTCTTTCAAAAGTACGAGTATAGCGATGAAATTTTGACATAAGTAAGTCTCTTATGATCCAAAATCTCCCTAACTAATTTTATGTTGATCGGTCCATAATTGAAATATCCCCCATGTAAGGACCCCTTCAGAATATGACTTTAACGCTCATTACTGGCTTAAAAATACGAGTATAGTGATGAAATTCGACACACATAAGTTTTAATAAAGCCAAAGTCCCTCTATCAAACTTTATGTGGATCGGTCCATAATTGATCCTACTTCCTATATAAGGTGACCTTCAAAAAATTACTTAAACGATCATTACTGGTTTAAAAATACAGAATACAGAAAAGCGATGAAATTCGACACACATATTTTTTGTACGAGTTAAAACCTCTCTACCAAATGTATTGAGGATCGGTCCATAAGAAAATTACTTTAACGATCTTTGCTGACTTAAAAATACGTGAACAGTTATGAAATTTTATATAAGAAACATTTATAGGAACGCAAATCTTCCTACCGAATTTCATGAGGAAAGTGTCGGGAAGTGATATTCGATGTAAAGATGTTTTGTATGAACCAAAATTGGTATAAAAAAAAAAATTATGAAAAACGGTCAATTATTAACCCTATCTCTCATATAAGGTCCTCTTCAGTTAATTTGATGAGTAATATCACCCTGATGTTTATAGGGAAGCATTTCTTTAATGGCATACGGTTTGATGGTGGGTATATGAGATTCGGAACAGAATATAACACTCTCACTTGTTTTCCTTTGTGTATTGAGCTCATAAGTACGTCAAATGTTCTTCTATCATTTCGAAGATCGGTAAAACCTAGTTTTTTGATTATTTGATTTGATATTGAATTATGATGATTCCAATTCAGCTCAATTCTTTAGAAAAGTATACTTTGGTCTATGGGTTTTCACTTACATATTTAAAATTGTTTTGGTCGGTGTAATTTGTTGATAATGGCATGTTCTAGTCTATCAGACCGGATGTCGTGGTTTCTATTGCCAACAGAGACACTGGCAAAGGAGTGCACAGCAGGCACGATGGTGATCTACTTAGGTGTATATCTTCGGATTTGATGTAACGTACATCCTCCTTTCGAACTCACTGTCCACAGCTACAATAACTATTGTTCAATTCACAATCAAGTTGTATATTGTACCTACTAAAGTGTAGTAACAGTGATTGTGAACAGATCTTTGCAGCAAGTCATAAGTTTATGTTTTCAATGAAAAAAAAAAAAAAACAATCAAAACAAATATACATAACAATGTCAAAAGATAAAAAAATCAAAAAAATATTAAATTAATTAAACATGCGAAATAAACCAAATTAATTTCTTTGAATTTTCAATGCTTTTATATTATTTATTCCACATTTTAAACTAATAAATAAACAGTTTTTAATAAAATTTTAGTTTTTTTGTTTTGGTAAACAGCTGTTTGTTTTTGATTTCAGTGTTACCACTTTATCGTTTTTTATGCTAAAATCGTTTGAATTTTTTGTTTATATGTCGAAATAAACAATTGGCAACACTAAACTTTCTTACAACATTCGAAAAACATATGAAAAATTGTCGTAGGAGTTGTATAGTGCTTTTGCATAGAAAATACCAACAACATTGTTATGACTATTGTAGCAGCTGCTGACATACAACGCTACAACATCGATTGTGAATTGAACATATATATTTATCTCTGATATTGATCAGATTTGCCAATAAACCTGTCTTCCAAACGAAAAGTATAATTTTTCACAAACAATGGATTAATAAAAATGTTTAATCTATTCTGTAAAGGAACTACAGATTACCTTCAGACCTTTTAATTTTATTACTTCATTTAAGGCTTCTATATAGAACAGCTCACAACAGAGGAATTCTTAACAAACACAGACCTAGAGGGAGAGCGTAATAAAAATTCACAGAAATGTAAATATTTTGCTTAAACTGAACATCAGATAAAGAAATAAGTAGTAACAGTAATATATGTAGTTGTATGAACTACATCAAGAATACTATGAATAGAATAGTCAGTTTTACTTGCAAGTAAAACTGAAAATGAACATAAAGAAAAAAAAAAAAAAACATTTTATGACTCTTGCCAATGTTATCTGCTTGACTATACGTCCGTCCCTTGACTCGCGGTACGCCGGTTATCTTTTATATACGACACTGAATTTTTGTTTTAAATTTAGACGGAATTTTTTAAAGAAACTCAAATAGACCGTATCTGTATGTAGCTTTTTTTTGGTATTTAAATATTTGTAATGTTAAGCAAAACAAACAGAATAAGTAAAAAAACAAAAACAAAATTTTGGAGACTTGGTGTTAAATCTTACATTTTTTGGAGTGTTGGAGGTTAAGCTTGTTGTTTTAATGTATACGTTTGTACTTTAATAAAAAATTAAATATTTAAGTAAAAAACAATTTAATTAATAATATACTTTTATATATATTGGGATATTTTTAGGCTGGAAAACAAAGCTCTTTTTGAGCAGAGCTTCAACTTTGCAAATCCCCAAGTGTACGATACCGGCTTCACCACGACGACTACATTCCTGCAACACTTTAAGGACGTCGTCACGACGAAGTTCTCCGGCAGAGATCATCATCTGCCGCCCCTACATCCCCACCAACAACACACCACGTTGCACGCACACCATCAGCCACACCAGGCTGTGGCTCAAGGCTTTTCCACCATTTTTCCCACATATCTAGGCATGGATCGCGCCAGTGGCGGTAACGCTGCTGGCGGCGGTCTGGGTGTAGTCTCGAGCGGTAATCCCGGCGGCGGTGGTGGTGCCTTAAATGGTCTCGAAGCCATGTCAGCCGAATCTACAGGTTTATGCTTACAAGACTTGGTCAGTGCTGGCACTGCTGCCGGTGCTGGTTCGGCAGGTTCTGCTGAGAGTGCCACTAGTACTAGTACCGCTCTTAGTAGCGGCAGTACTGGTAGTTCAACTGTAAATAGTAATACATCGGTGGGAGGTGGCAGTGATCATTTGCACAATCATCATAGTCTGCATGATTCCAGTTCATCGGTTAGCATTTCACCCGCCATATCGAGCTTAATGCCAATTGGTAGTTTAAGTCATTTACATCATGGCAGCGGTCAGGATCTGGTATCCGGTTATAGTCAACATCCACATCATACAGTAGCACCCCCGCATACGCCTAAACATGAACCCCTGGAGAAACTCAGAAGTAAGTAGTGAATATTTTCGATTATATTTTATAATAGCATCATTATGCAATTTAGAAGATATCAAAGAGAGGAGATATATAGTTTTTCGTAAGATGATCGTTAGAATATAACGTTCCTCTCTCACTCTATATTCTTACTAGAACCCTTCCTTAAACTAAGGGCTTTATTAGTAAGTACTTAATCTTCAAGATTTGACAAGATCACTGATATTGGCAGAGAGTAAAAAATTAACTCTCTTATTGGTTTTATTTGTTTTTTATACATGTGTTAGCTTATGTATCCAGGTGTGAAAATAGTTCCTTCTTAGCCGATATCTGCACTTATTAATCCCTTTTAATTTATAGAATTGTGGCAAATTCACTTAGAAACTCAAAAGAAACCAATTTGGTCGCTGCTGGAATCTAAAAAACTAATACATTTAATTAGGATTTCATTCTTGAAAAACAAAATTTGGTCTACTATTAAATTATGTAAGGAATTGGTTTATAACACAAGGACCCCAAATAGAAGGTTAACGTATAAATTTATTTAAATTTCTAAAGTTAATTTCTTTACTTTAACCATAATTTCAACAAGTGCCATTGTTATACAATCGATAAACAATTTATTTAATTTTTGCTTGCTAGTCAAAACTTGTTGTCAAAAGTGACAACAAATAAAATTGGAAAATATGTCATCAACAGCTGTCACAATTTCCCATGAATACGTAATACACTCAACAACAACAGCAACAACAATAAAAGAAGAAAGGAAAAGAAAACAAACAAATCATTCACGGTGGCATCGATATTGCCAAAACTAACAAATATTAGATGTTGGGTTTTGCTTATCAAACGACTGAAAATGAACAAATGAAATTCATATTCATAAACAGCAACAACAACAACAATAAAAAACATGTCACTTTTACAGCAATTATATGCGCCACACTTGTTCGAAATAAATATAAAAATTCGTTTCGAATTTTTACTTTCTTTTGTAAACAAAATATAAGATGAGATGCTTGCTGCTGTGTTGTATCTGCTGTCGTTGTTGTTGTATTGTGATAACATTTTTCACGCATCATGTTCTGGAATACACAACAAAAACTCCCCGGAATTCCAACCTAATCATTGTGTAATCATTAGTTAAATTATACAAATTTTTTTAATGTTCGAAAATAAACTAAACGAAACAAGAAACTGGGAAAAATGTTACGGCTAATTGAACACCCCTCTCTCATGACGTTGAAGCAATATAGAAAATATTGAACAACCAAACTCTCTTCTCATACTTTCACTTATTTTATACAAGATACTTCAGCAGTGTATAATTCGTAGTATGTTTGTGTGTGAAATGATGCTGGCTGAAGTGTTGCCTCGATGTCTGTTAAAATAAGCGACTTTTGTGTAATTTCGCTGTTTGACACTTCAATTATATTGGGCCCACAATATGTTCATATACGAGTATAGACATTATGTAGTTGTTATTGTTGTTATGACACTTGTTCAGTTGATATTCGTTTGAGGGAGTTTTTGTTTTTCTATTTGGATTTTTAGCCATTAGGAAATTTGATATGCTCTTGACTCGATACGTATGTATGTAAGAGACCCTATTAAACGTATGAATTAGAAATTATCAAGTGTATATCTTGTTTTTGTTGTGTAAAAGTGTTTTGAAGTTGTTTTTTTTTCTCCATGGTGTGTTTGACATTTCGTTTTACAAATTGTTTTGGGAATTGAACTGACATTTGAGAGCAACAGAGGTCAGCACTAGAAGTGTGCGAGAGTTCACATCAAACAGCTACATATGAAAAGAGGAAAAGGAAACACTTTAACCCCACTTGTTGTTATAAATAAATATTAAAATCACACCAAGACAAGTGATTTCAATAATTACATAATTTAATAATTATTTAGTTTTATTCAATTTTATCTATTATTATAACAAAATTGTATTTTTATAAATTAGAAAATCTCATTTCAAACCCATACCTCACATGATTTTCTTTCCATTTTCTCATTTAAAATTCTCCTTATTAATCCCCCCAAAATCTTTTAATATTTCCTTTGAAGTGAAGTAAAAGAGAATCATGTTAATGTTGCTTTATGTCTTCAAATAGTGTAGTTTTTAATCCTACCTAAATTAAATTGTATATTTAAAAATAATTCCTTTCCATCATTCTGTTCATCAAATTAACAATAATATATTTAACAATATATAGTGTGTTCTCAAAAAACCGAAACAAAAATCAAGAAAAAAACACCCACATCTCTATTACGTATACTAAATAATGTTGACTAATTATCGCCTATTTTGTAGAATTTTTTTTAGATTTTTTTAGATTGACAAAAAATTATGTTTGTCACCACCAAATTCATTTCATTTTATTTTTTTTTATTTCTATCATCATTTCTACAGCATGTTCACACATTTCAACTTGTCATCTACAATTTGTCGAAAGATTTCTTTTGTTTCCATCAACGATCTTGAGAATATTTTTCTCGATTTGTGTCTTTTTCATTGCCAGTGATCTGTGAAGAAGATTGTTAAAGATGATGATGATTCTTTGCGTGTTTTTTTTAGTAATTTGGAGTGTGAATTATTGAGTCATTAATTTGCTGTTAATTTGTTTTATGTCACAAATGCACAACGAAAATGTTTGTCAAAAATTTAAATTTTTTTTGGGTGTAAAATTGTTGTGATTTTTTTTCGTTTGAATTTCGTTTTAAGGAGGGAATTCCCTTTGTATTTTATTAATTAAAATTTGTTAATCGTGAAATCAAAATTTTATTGAAACTCAATTAATAATAAAATATTAACATTTAAAACTTCAATAAAATTTTCTATAAATTGAGTATTTTAATCAAAATGTTCATTAAACAAGATTAGTTTCTATAAATGAAAATATTTGTCTGTAACTTACTATTAATCGTTATAAATGTTGTCGAAACTTTTTTATACGGTTAGGTTGATAGGAGGATGTGCTTCCACGATACTTGGATCTAACTTCGGCGACTTTCAGACTTGCTCATTTTGAAGAGATTTCTCGTCTTGCTCTCTTTAGGGTCACCCCATAGGATCTTTGTGTTTCTACCCACCGTTTTATTATTCCAAGAGACCTTATGGGATTCTCTTACCTCTGGGAGAATATTCAGTTAAAGCTTTCTTACAATCCAATACGATCTTAGATTTAATTCTATCTCCTGATATCGCCCTAATTGCCTTCTGACTGTCGGTAAATATATTAAGCCCTGTGGGCGCCAAGCTTCTGCCTGAAAGCTTGTGTTATGATTAGGTAAATGGTGGTATATTTCTGTTTCTAGGTCTTCAATATAGAACCCCAGGCCAACATTGTCCCCAAATTTAGAGCCATTCGTGTAACAACGCACTCCTACTGGTAATTGCTCTAATGTTCCGCTTGACCAAGACATTCTATCTGGGATCAGCGCTTCAATGTTCCGACATGTTCTGTGTCTGCTATGCGATCAGGCACGTCTGGTATGCGATCAGGCACGTCCGATGATTGTTAAAAAAAGTTTATAATTTGTTATAAAGATCAATGCTCTGAATCCGAATCAGAATATCTTCAACATATCAGGATTCCGAGATATCGAGTCCTAAAGTTTGGTCATACAGCGCGAAGATATAAATACATTTTTATATATTATCTGATACTCCAATCTGTATCTGGAAGATGGAAAATATTAACCTCCGTAATATCTTCTTAACCTAAAACTTGAAACACTTGTAAATTAAAAAAAAATATCTTGCAAAAATTTCAATGGACGATATCTCGAAAAATACAAGAGATTTTTGAACAATCTAAAAAGTATTTTTAAAGAGAAAATAATCGCAAAATAAAATTTCAGTTTTTGCCAATTTATGGCTGTTCCAATTTTGAGGTTAAGATGTCTCGAAGAAAGGAGAATATATAACAGAGGTTAAACTTTTATTATAAAGTCAACAGATGGGACGGATAACATAACGAAATTTATTAATTAAGGTGTATTCGCTCTGTTATAACGTCTTAAATAGGATAAAAACGGTGTTTTTTTGAAATTTCAAGATCCGATATCTCAAAAACTTGATGTAAAGAAGAAATTCACGTATTCAAGAATTCAGCGCAGATCAGTCCTCTTAAAAAAGTTTGTTTGCCTTTGAAATTAAACAATCTTAAAAGTTTTTTTTTACTTATAATTTGACGTAAAAAGAAAACTTTGTACAAATTTCACAAAAATATATATTTTCTATTAAATTTTTGGCCAAAATATTACGTATTTTTGTATCTATTATCAATCAATTTATATGGTTCTATAAATCAAGTTCTAATAAATACTTATATTTTTTATTTGTTATTTTTTTTTTCCTTTACTTTGATTTTTGTCTATAATCTCTAGGGATTTCATATTTAATCCATTTAAGATATTAAAATATTTAAAAAATTCAAATGCCATGATTTGTAGACACATTTTATTTTATCTCGTGCTCTACATATACACATACATATGTACATATATTCATACAAATATACACTCATCTACCCATAAAGTATTTAATCTTAAATTATAATCTTTTAATCATAATTTGTATATAAATATTATTAAAATCATAAAAATATGACACATTTTTCAATAAAGTTAAAAAATTCCTCAAATAAAACCAGACAAAATGAGAAGATTCGTAAAAAAAATTATTTAATATTGAAAAAAAACTAAAATTATCAATTATGGAAATGAAAATATAACTCATAAAACAAACAAAGAAAGAAAACATGCACATGTGTTGTTAAATACAAACTGGAGATGGTGCTGTGCTGCCTTAAGCTCCCCCCAAGCCCAATACAGCTGTTGACAACATAATTCACTTCCACTAAATAATCATATTCCAACAGTAATACTTTTTTATAGAATTTTGAGTGTGTACTTTTGAGTTTTTTTTTTTTATAAAATTTTAAAACATAAAAAATACAATTTTAAAAAGAGTTTTTTATTTATAAGCAACACAACAAACGCATCAC